ATTCGAAGGTGTCTTTAACTGTATGTTTGCAATAGAACTTTTGCACGATGTCAAGCCAACCACACAGCCATTTAGAGATATTATATTGCGGTGATGCGACCATGGATAATATGGGGCGCAACGGACAGTTCACTTTATGTATTTTTGGGAGCCCATAGAGACGTGGTCGGACGGAACCAATGGGCCGCATTTTGAAGAACTCTTCCTCCGATATCTGTTTACTTTCTTTAAGTCTCTTGAGAAAACTATTCAACTTTTTCTCTACCCGAACTGTGTTGTCATGAGTAGATACCGGACCGAGTTGGACAAACTTACTCGTGTCCTCAAGGATGACCGCCATTTTTGTATTGTACTCTTGTGTGCTAATAATAACTGTAGCTCGACCCTTGTCTGGTCTTGTGATTCTAATATCGTTGTTGTTCATTAGAACACGTCGAGCTTTAAGGTGTTCTCTGGATAATGAAAATGTGCTTCGGTCTGGAGGTTTTTCCGCACGGTACGGCACGGTACGCTAGTCAGTTGAAAGTACTTGAGGCTGTTTGTATTCGTTTGCATAAGCCTGATCTTTGTAAGCAGAAGAAACATGTAGTTGCGTTAAGATTGTTTTCGTAGGTGCACAGCATGATTGTTTGTCTCACTACACAGTTCTAGCGTTGTAATTAGTTCCTCACCCCTGTTGCACTTAGCTCTCACTTTACTTCTATTGTCTCACCTTCCCTCATTCTATTTTTAGCACTTTGTTTTGTTCTCATAACACATTATTGAATGTATATAAATTATTGATTTGGCATGGTTACTCTTCAGTCACGGCTTTCCACTGATGATTGTGACAAGAAAATCGATTTTGGTAAACCTTCATGACTTTGTTGTAGTGTGGCGATGACAGCAGAATTTGTTCTCTTTATAGCTATTATAAAATTGTTGTCTCCGCGTCGATTATTTAAAGTTCTAAAAATATAATATCCTCGCCAGGGGCATAGCTGGTTCCCCTTCTAGGGGGCTACACGGCCGCTTATGTGTAGGGTGGCTGGTGCATGTCATTCATGGTCGACCGGTCATTATGGTCATTGTGTGCATGCTGAACCTACAGACTGTGTTCATGTACATGTAGGTCGGGCAAGGGGGGGGGGCGGCGGGCCTGCTGGTTGCTGCGTCTCTAGGGGCTCTCCCTGAGTCCCTCCTAAACTGTTCTTTGTGTACTGTGAGAACTACTGACCTTCCACATGTACCGTAAAGTACCGCCAGAGCGCCCCACCATCCCATCCTTTCGTGGTCGTTTTGTGGAGGTGGTCTGCTGTCTGTAGGTCATACGACATGAACCTTGTACACATATTGCACGTTTTGCAGTCAATCCGTACCTTCAAGCGGACACAAGCTCCACACAAAACCTGCCAAGTGTGACCTTAGTACACTAAGATTCTTACATCGTACAAACTTCATTGCACTCTGCCATACGATTTTCCTTTCCCTGGCTGTAAAATCAAGGTGGGGCGCTCTCGCGAGACGGGGCGCTCTGGCGGTACTTTACGGTACATGTACTTGAAGTACATGTGTGTCCGCCTTCGCATACATGTACATGACTTTGTATCAAGGCTAATTACACGACTATCAATGCGTTACGTTTATCAACCAGCTCTTCCTCATCGACTTCTCCAATCTACGCATGCTTTGAGTTTCACACAACGCTCGCTGCTCATGTAATCACGCCTTCAATAGTGCTAGCTTTAGAATACTAAGTTTGAAGAAGGGCTGAGGCTTCCTGCAGCTTCATCTGTGAAAAGAATTCGGGTGGACACACCCATTCCCATAGCGCTGCACATCACATCCGAACCAGTTCCGTTATTTTTACAACGTTTCGGCACTTGGCCATCGTCAGGTAATAGCAATGAATACCGTGGAAGCCACACAAGAGCAGTATATACGCAGAGTGTAGCGCCAAAAAAGATGCGAATTATGTCACCTAGTGTGCAGAAGGGGGGGGGGGCAGAGAGAGAGAAAAGGCGCAACTAGCACATCACGGAGGAGAAGCAACAAAAGGTAGCGCGCATTGTGCTCTGTGAATGGCGTTACGCAGAGTGTAGCGCCAAAAAATAAAAATGATGCGAGTTATGTCACCTCTATACAGAGGGGGGGGAGAGAGAAGGTGGAACTGTGCACATCACGGAGAAGAAGAGCGCGCCGTTGTGCTCTACGAAGTGAGGGCACATGCCAAATAATTATGGTGTTAATTCTAGCACAGGAGGGGAGCACGGAGCCCCATGTGTCAATGCACTATGAGGTTAAACTTCCATGCCAAACTGTTACCACCAGGGACGCGACGAGGCATCAGGAACAGAATGGATTTGAGTGACCCGCCTCATATTATAATTATTCAGTGATATTGAAGTAGCAGCAGGGGAAGGTGAGAAAAATTCACAACAAATCCCATCTGGTGCTTATGTTCACATGGGGCTTGGCATCACGAATCTCAATCGCCTCGCGCAGTTTGCGACGGGCTCGATCAGGCTCTCTTCCTATCACTTCAACTGCAGAGAATGCACTTTGCCCATAGTTAAGCTTACATCCAGGGTGAGTGCTACGAAAATGTTGGCCCCATGGCTTGTCGAGTTCCTTTCGTCTTGCCTCACCATTGTGTTCTTCCAGGCGAGTTTCCAGAAAGCGGCCAGTCTCACCAACATATTGTTCCGGACATTCTTTGCACTTAGTAAAACTGTACCAAGCAAGAGCGGATGCAGTTTTGAGAGCTCTGCATCCTTTTGTGAATGTGGTAGTTTTTGGATCCTTATAAAGCATATCTAGGGCGTGCCCTTATAACCTAACCACCAATCATGGCAAGCACTGGTAACTCGAGACCCCGATGGATGGCACTGACCTCGGAGCAGATGCGAGAGACGTCCGGGAAATTCGATTGCCCACTGGGGACCAAAGTGGTGGATGTCGCGAATGCACTGGGAGATGCTGGATACAACGACCTCACATCTGTTCAGATAAGTTCACAGCATGAGTGCATTGTAACCTTCATGTCCACTGCGAGTCTAGAGCGTGTTGTTCGGGAGGGCTTTTCTCTATTGGATAAGACAATTTTGGTTTCAAACGTACTGGATTCGATCCTCCAGCTGCATATATCTGACCTCCCTGTCTGGATCTCGGACATTGCATTGACGGACGCTCTCAAACCGTACGGTAGTCCCGCTTCAACAGTTCGATACGGGCAAGTCACCACAAAGCATGGCTTCGATGTTACAACCGGGGTACGCTTTTTAAGCTTCAAACTAGGGAAACAATGCCCCTCCATTCCATCGTACGTTCAAACGGCAGGGGGTCACGTCTTTGCCGTACGGTATAAGGATCAACCACGCACCTGTAGGGTATGCGAGTCCCCAGGTCACCTGGCCGCGGACTGCCCCACCAGGCCACGCACCCCTCGTGGAACGTACGCTAACAGGGTCAAATCGGGACCCCAGAAAGGGCGCGAGGATCAGCCACTGCCTGAAAGCCTAGCCTCTGCAGTCAAATCGGGACCCCAGGAGGTCATCGGTGCAGACAAAGCGCGCGAGGATCAGCCACAACACGAGAGCCTGGGCGCTTCTCCAGCTGGTCAGGCCGACTCGAGACCCCTGGAGGAGGGCACGGGTACACATGGCAGCCAAGACTCAGCTTCTGCCGTAACTGTCAAAATGCGACCTGAGCATGATAAACAAAGCAACCACGTGGAACTTGACCTGACTCTGTCTCCTGACAGCAGCTGGGCCGAGGAGTCGGACTGTCCACCTGAGGGGAAACTCTCAGGGGGCGATGAGGCTAGAGCATTGGCGATATTGGCAGACTGCTTCCACAAGAGGCCGCGGGAGTCGACCTCCCCATTGGTAGTTTCCAGTGATAACCAGAGAAAGAAGAAGGCGAAAAAGATCACTGCGTCAAGCAACAAGCAGATAACTTGGCGCAGATAACATCTTCTCCCCCTGTGTAGCCCTAGGTATACAAACACAATCTGGTTTTCCCTGTCCTACTTCAACCTCGTGTCTTCCTCCAGCTTCCTCATTCTTATCTTTAGCTTGATCCTTTTAGGTATTTCATTAGATTTTAGGACCCTTAGCCATACATGTAACTATGCACCCGCTTACGCCAAATGTCCCTCCCCTTTTTTTAATTACTTCCTCCTGCAATGAAGGGTAGCAAGAATCTTCGCATTCTCTGCACAAACGCTTTCGGCCTAGCCAGCAAACTTCCCGACCTACAGCACGCACTCCTGCAGCATCAGCCCGACGTAGCAATTGTGACAGAAACGAAGTTCACTGCGGAGAAAGTGCTTCCCTCTGACATCAGCTTCCCTGGATACAGCTCACCACTTCGGTTGGACAGAACGGCACATGGGGGAGGGGTAGCCATCTGGGTGAAGTCGTCACTCCCCTCCATGCTCATCCCTGACCTCATGTCCCCCGCACATGAGATCATCTGGGTTTCTCTCCAGCTGGCCCCAGGTCTCCGCACCGTCTTGGGAGCAGTGTATCGGCCAGGGTCCTGTGCCCCTGGCGATCTTACCTTAATCGATCATCTCGACAACATCCTCCCAGAAGCTAGACACCAGGGCTCCCACATTATCCTAGCTGGCGATTTCAACGTGCACAACCGGGCTTGGCTGAACAGCTCGAAATCTACGCCTGCAGGCGAGGCTCTCGAAGATACCTGCGCTGCCCATCTTCTTGTCCAGCATGTCACAGTACCGACTCGTGGAGACAACCCGCTAGATCTCATAATGTCAACGTTCACGTCCCCAGTAACTACACGTATACTTCCGCCCCTCGGTCGATCTGACCATGCAGTTGTACTGTCAGACTTTTCTTCCGTGCTCCCTAGACGTGAACCCCCTGTTAAGCGAACAGTATTTCGCTACAACAGGGCAGACTGGGATCGCCTTAGGGCGCACCTTCGCAACGTGGAATGGGGTGATATCATCACGGAGGACCCAGAAACTTCCTGTGAGCAGGTTACCGCTTCGATTACTGCAGCTGTTGCACAGTTTGTCCCATCCAAAGTTCTGGAAACGAGGCCTTCCGATCCGGTATGGTGGACGCCTGAATGCACAGAGACCGAGAGGGAGAAGGAGAAGCGCTGGCGCGACTGGAGAAAACACCCTTATGACCCAGCACTTCAGCAGGCATTCACCGATTCCGTGACTGTAGCGATCGCCACCCAGTTCCGATCACGACGTGCAAAGGAGGACAGCCTCCGTCGCAGCCTCTCAACTGGGTCCCTCAGAGACAAACAGTGGTGGACGAAGTTGAAGAACGCTGCTGGCAACCGCACACAGCCCGAAATTCCCCTAGTTGTCGACTCTGACGGCCGTGAGTGGGCAACAAGCTCAGAGAAAGCAGAGGCATTCGCTCGCTTCTTCTCGAAGAAATGTAGCGTTGCCGGTCCAGACCTTGTGGAGGCTGACCTACCGGACCCTGCTCCCTCAGAGGCTCCACCTCTTCGCACCATCCGCTTCCGCCCACAGGCTGTCCGCCGACTCCTGGCAAGGCTCGACGTCTCCAAGGCTACCGGGCCTGACGGTATTTCTGCTCGCGTCCTTAAGGAATGTGCTCATGAGCTCGCAGAGCCACTGTCCAAGCTATTTGCTTTATGCTTCCGGTCTGGAGTGCAACCTAGGATGTGGAAGACGGCCAACGTGGTTCCGATCCACAAGCGATCTTCCCGCTCAACCCTTAAGAACTACAGGCCCGTATCGTTACTGTGCATAATCTCGAAAGTAATGGAAACTCTTGTAAACAGACACATCGTAAACTATTTTGAAGACCATCATCTGCTCACGTCGCACCAGTTTGGATTTCGCAGAGGCCTTGGAACATCGGACGCTTTGCAAGCTCTCCAAACTGCCTGGGCAAGCGCTGTGGGCTGTGGAGGGGCGGCTCGTATCCTAGCTGTGGACATCGCAGGAGCGTTTGATCGTGTCTCGCATGTCGGCCTCCTTCACAAGGTGCGTAGCCTAGGCATAGATGGTCCGCTTCAGAGATTGCTGGCCTCGTACCTGGACACCCGTTCCCTACAGTGCCTCGTTGGAGGGCGGACGTCATCTAGGTATACGACCTCCGCTGGAGTCCCCCAGGGAAGCATCCTTGGACCAACGCTTTTCCTGGCCTACGTCAACGACGCGCCAGATGTTCTCGCTGACGGCGCCAGTTTGGAAGCCTATGCTGATGATACAACTTTGTACAGCTTAGTCACCTCCCAGCAGACCCCAACAGTCGCCGCGCAGTCACTGCAGGTGTCCGTTGACCGACTGCACGAGTGGGGTCATACATGGAAAGTGATGTTTGAACCGACCAAATCCCAGGCCATGACAGCCACCCTCAGACGCACCGGCTTAGATCTCCCCCCACTCCTGTTTGGTGGCACACTGGTGCCCGAGACAACCACCATTACCCTCCTTGGTGTGAAGGTGGACGCCAAGTTGACCTTCAGCGATCACCTACGCTCCGTAGCCACCCGTGCACGCCAACGGCTTGGGGTCCTAAACAGAGCCGCCCACATACTCACCCCCGCCGGCCGGACGACCGTATACAAGGCGTTCGTACGACCAGTCATGGAGTATGCGCCTCTTGTATGGATGGGAGCTGCGCAGAGCCACCTCCAGCGTCTGAACAATGTTCAGCGCCGCGCGCTTCATGCTATCGGCCCTGGGGCACACCTACCCAGCCTGGCCATCCGCCGCACTGTTGCCTCGCTTGCCTGCCTGTACAAGCTGCACTGCTTGCCTGGTCCTCCGCAGCTGCTTTCTGTTTTGCCACCGCGCCACATCATCTCTACCAACCCCAGAACTCGCAGCGAGCACGGTGCTGTCAGTGGCCATGACCACCAGCTCCAACACCAGCTGCCTGCATCTGCCCCGCTGGCACTGAAGCGCTCGTTCCCACACTGCAGCATCAGCGATTGGAACTCCCTCCCTGCCGCTCTCCTATCCCAGCCTCCCCACAGCAAGAGAATGCAATCATTCAAAACGAATGTTTACCGCCATCTTCGCAGCACAAACTGGCTCTGGGCAGTCGATTCCCTATGAATAGTATGACGCTAAGACAGTTTCTCCCCCACAATCGCTCGTGTTAAGCCTTGGGTTTTTGCATCTTTCTTACCTGTACAGCTCTATCTTCTTCTTTTTTCATTGTTTTTGGTGCGTGTTTTTGGCCGTGACGCCGAGACCTCAGGTCGGCAGAGTCATCAATGCCCCACCATCACTGCTGCGTCTCGGTGCAGCGCCTGCTCATTAGTTGTCACGTTTGTCCTAGTCTCCGTACCATTGTCTTTCCTTATTCTTTTCGAGCTGGTTATGTGAATATAGTAAAAAAAAAAAAAAAAAAAAAAAAAAAAAAAAAAAACTTCAGCTGATATACAACATTCTTCTGCATACATACATCCTGTCCCCCGGATATACACGAGATACACGGCCCCTTTGGGCGACCTCTCTTTTTCGGTTGTAGCGGATTTGCAGCCTTGACACATAGAGGAGGGACGAGGGCGGAGCGACACAATGTGCGCCTCAGGCTACCAGTGTGCTCATATACGACTCTAACCGGAATTTTATACTTTCTGATGGCTTTATTCACTGCTTGATGTACTTTATCTGACTTATATGGAAGCTTTAGAAATGCGCAGCATGGGTTGGCATGGCGACGACGCTTTGGCCTTGTGGAGGCAGTGCGTGCCTCTTCAATGATTCTCTCTGGGTAATTGTTCAATCTTAATTGTTCATGAACCCTCGCTTCACTTTCTGCACGCATTCTGGTATTCGATGAGAGCCTCTGAGCTCTTAGGAATTGTGACGAAGCAACTGCCAATTTGATATGGTGGGGAACTGCCGAAGTATTTAGAAAAGCGATCCTGTCAGCTTTTCTATTATTCTGTTCACATGGCGCTACCTAACGACACCGCTATTCAGACACGTTGTCTACGTAGCTACGTAAGTTTCTACGTAAGATGCTCGGTACCTGGTCCTGGACCAGGGCCAGGGAGCTGCTCCATGGCTCCTACCATCGCGCGGCCGGCTGGCCGCATGCGTGTGCATTGCAGACTTTTTGTTGCTGCCTTTTCCATGTTTTCGGATGTGCATGCACGAGGAACTTCCTTCTTTGGAACTGCTTCTTGCATGAGCTGTTTCGGATATTTTGTCTCCTGGCCTGGCTTATTTCGTTTCGGCGCTGCTGAGACCTCCTTTCGCGGAATATTACTCAATGAAAGGTGAGTTGACCAGTTCCCTTTGATTCATTTGCTTGTGTTGACTCTTTCATTTACGAAAAGTGTGCTGATTTTGGGCGGAATGCAATAAATAATGGAAAAGCTGACAGGATCTCTTTTCTAAATTTAGCTTTTTCGCTGCCGAGGCCTCCTTTTACGGAATACTCGATGACAAGTGATCTCTGAGTTGACCAGTTTCCTTCGATTCATTTGCTTATGCTCACCCTTTCATTTACGGAAACGTGTGCTGCTTTTATTCGGATTTAGATCCATTTTTATCTCTTTGCCCTTGCCTACAGTGTGCGAAGAACGCGAGTTCACAGGCTTCTTGACGGTAAGGCTTATGTTGCTGCTGAGGCTTAGATGTGTTGTCGAAATACTCATGTTCATTGTACATTGGTACGTTACAAGTAAGGCACTGGTCAGTGGCATACTATCGTTGGCAGTTCCCAATCTGGAGGGAAAGGTTCAAGGACCCATTGACCGAGTATGCAAAATAAATTCGCATATCAGGGAAAATCTCCATTATGGAGAGGTTCAGTGACTTGTTTGCTTCATACGAAACAAGCCAATGGGTGCAGTCTCGTCTCGTGAAAATCTCGTACTTGTATGATTGGATTTGTTTACTCGAGTCTGGGCTGTTTGATTTGTGAGTACCGCCGAGATTGCACTGCCACAAATAAAGTTGCGTGCTGCCAAAGTAAAAATTACGATCTGCAATCTGTTTGTAGTACATTTTACCTGCAAGAATGTGCTGTACACGTATCGTACTTTCTCTGTTGCTGTTTCAGTTGCCGTCATGTTGCTAAAGAAAGGTTCAGTGACTCATTTGTTTCATACGAGACGAGTCGGTGTGGCTTAGAATCTTTCGCTGTAGAAAAAATCTATTCGTATGTCTATTGGAGAAATGTATTCACTGGTTATAAAATAGGTTAAGACAAACTCACAGAATAAATACCATCGGTCCCTTGGTGTTCGTCCTAAAGAGGTTCGACTGGATATCATTCATACTCACAGCAAGAGATGTGTACCATTTTATTATTATGGAGTGCCTTGTTTATCTCTCAGTACCTCCAGGGTACCCTGTAAGAAGGCCTTAGGCCTGCGGGATTGCCCTATCAAAAATTTGACAATTTGATAACAATGACCTCGACCCTCCAATGGCCTTGCCCCTTTTATCCTGAGGATCAGTGTAGTTGTTGGAACGAGGTACCGGACTCAACAATGTATTTGTTTACATTTTAATACATGTTTATTGTTCCTCCTTTGCTGTGTTGTTTTAGAAAATCGTGGACTAACAGTTTGAAGTCATTGAACTACTTCCAAAAGTTGTATCGACATCAACAGGATTACGATTTCAGTGCAATATGATGCAGGATGACCTTATCATGATAACCCATGATTGTAAACAATTATAAACACAGAATCAACAAAAACATCTGCGACACGCACCTGGCTACATTTCTCAAGTAAATCTGAAATATCTGAAAGGCAAGACAATTTTATGACAGTCCGGAAATTCTGCAACAGCAACATGCACAGAATGACCTGCGTATAAAAAAAAAGTATCACCACCACTAACCACATGTTTCCCCAGCAGAAGTATAATGCTAGTGCCATTTTCTGCAAGAAAAGGCTTGCACATCAATGCGTATAATACGGTATTGATATGATGTGAAGGCCATCATTTACATAAGGGCATTCCATTGATTGGTGACAGAAAAAACAAAAGAAATTATAGCAATAAAAACTGCTTTATGGCAGCTTTCTAAAAAAGTTATTGTGTTCTAGTCCTGGGTCCGGCATAGGCTATAGAAAATTGATAAAATTGCTTCCAAACTGGACTCCGTCTAAAAACTAAGAAATTAACGAAATGTGAGTGCCGAAAATTAAAATTTCACACAAAACCTCACAATAATCACACACAGGATGAAAAGCTAGAAGACCTTTTCCCTTCGTGATCCTCTTTCCCATGCATGCATGTTGGTGCAGTACAAGTACAATGTCAGACTAAACAAGTGTTGAAAGCAGTGTTTGATTGTCAAGTGTTGTGATTATTGTGAGGTTTTGTGTGAAATTTTAATTTTCGGCACTCACATTTCGTTAATTTCTTACTTTTAGACGGAGTCCAGTTTGGAAGCAATTTTATCAATTTTCTATAGCCTATGCCGGACCCAGGACTAGAACACAATAACTTTTTTAGAAAGCTGCCATAAAGCAGTTTTTATTGCTATATAATCACTGAGTAGACCACTAGCACATGCCTTCTGGTACAGCTTGTATGCCAGCTTGCCTTCCTGGATCATAATTGTGATATCCATATAATTTATGGAGCCACTCACCTCGCTGAGCTCATATGTGAAGTTGATACTTGGGTGTGCAGAGTTGAAATGCTGCACAAACCGCATCAAGCTGTCCCTGCCGTGGGTCCATAGCAGCAGGATATCGTCGATGTAGCGTTTGTAGAGGAGCGGTACTAACGGAGAATCCTGCAGAAGCCTGGCCTCAACCGTATGCATAAATAGAATCGCAAATGGGGGTGCAAGATTGTTACCCATTGCAACCCCGTCCACTTGGTGATAGATCTGATGGCCGAATCTGAAATAGTTGTGGCTGAGAACAAACAGCAACAGATTCCGTACCCCGCTCACACTCAGCCCAAACATGTCGATCCGCTGGAAATACTGCTGCAGCATATCCACCACTGCCTGAACGCCCTCCCGAATAGGTATGCTCGGATATAGCCCGACTACATCCACGGACATAACGATGGTGCCATCGGGGGCGTTCAATCCCGGACATGCGTCACAGATGTGGGTTATTGCTTCCGTCGTGTTAGCCAGGTGGGCCGGGACAAATTGAATGAGCTGCTGTAGGATGCGCTCCAATACAATAGATACTCCAGTCGTTGGGCTGTCGCACGCTGCTACCACGGGTCGCAATGGTAAGTTCTGCTTATGGTCCTTTGGAAGACCGTACCACTCGGGGAACTTCGTACTGTTTGGTAGGATTGACTTTAGGAGTTTTGAATCCATGTTCTTGCACTCTGACAGTATTACTTCTCGTGTCTTGGTTTCGTAGGACTCTATGGTCAAATCTACTTTCTCATACATGGTCATGTTCGATAATATGTCTTCTGCTTTCTGCAAATACAGCTCCTGTCTCATAGCAACGAGTTTTTTACTTAGTTTAGAATACTACTAGTAGTGTTTCTTGTATTAGTTTTAAATCTAGTAATGTTCACTTTGTGGTACCATAACATATTATTCTTTCCTTTGTAGTCAAACTGTCAATGTGACGAAGATTTCTGATGATCATCACATGAAAAAGACGTTCAAACCCTTCAGTATTGTTCCATTCAGGCATTGCTGTCCTGGTATGGGCGGGTTTACCATAATTATTATTTCTTGAGATATTAGATTTCTTGTCTCCACACCGACTTGTTAAATACCGGCAGTAATAGACCAATTTCTATTTGATTGATTTGCCAACGGCAAAACATGTTTATTTTAACTTTTAGTTCTATTCCAAGCAATACATGCCTTGGGCAGCCAATGACCACTTTGCATGGCGATTGCAGACTTTTATACATGTAGCCAACCACGGTTATCATCTACATGTACATGTAGATGTACATGTAGATCACGGGAACCTCAACTACATATATGTACACGTAAAAATCCGTTGATCCCCGAGCTGCAGAGAGTGCTCAATGTCGGAGACAGAGCTTAGTACAATACAGTACAATGTCATGTACTGGTACACAGCGCTGAGTCTGCTATGTACTAGTACACGTACAGTGAAACCTGTCTAAGACGACCGCTCTAGGGACCTCCAAAATGTGGTCTCTGTTACCGGGTGGTCTCCTTATCCAGGGTCACTTGACTGGAAATAGCATCCCTTGGTCCTGGTTATGGTGGTCTTCTAGGACAGGTGGTCGCCTTATAAGAGTGGCCTCCTTGACAGGTTTTACTGTGCACTGTACTAGTATGTGAGAATTTTTTAATTTTTTTAATTTCGGCCAGTCGCCTACTATCATTTTGTCTTGGGGGTTAGACAAGGGGAAGTAGCCATGTAGGGGCGTTAGCCCGCCTTTCGGCACCGGGAGTTGCAGCTCATGTGGGAATGGAAATTGTAACAGATTCACACACTCACACTGTGCATCCTACTACACGTTCCCACTTACGTTGTGTTACATCACACCTGTGTTGCATGTTCACCTTGGATTACACTTCTGTCCCATATAACCCCGTTGATGGTATAATAAAGTCGTTCTACTCTTGATCCTGAATCGCTCTGGTTGGACGGTTACACTGGTAGCAAAGGATGGTTGTCGAGATTTTTTGTTTGCTGGTATGCGTGGCCACCCTTCTGTTAGCTCGGTATGACCGCTACAAGGACGGAGCGCGCCGACGGGTACAAACTGCCGCAACGACGGATACACCTCAAGGACCTCAACGGCCCACGGACCAACGACTGCTCGACAGGAAATTTGATGGGACAGTCAATAGGCCTCCGGTGTTTTCGGGCAACCCTGCGGACTTCAGGGAGTGGGTCTTCGCTATCGAGCTCGCCATGGTGTCACAGCGCGTCAACGACGACCAGGAGCAGGTGCGATTCGCTGCCAGCTACCTACAAGGCAACGCCAGGCTTTGGCTGATGTCGGTATTGGATTCCGGCGCCTGCATCCACGACTGGCCGACGCTAAAACAGTCACTCGGCGACGTGTATGGGCCAGTCCATGAACAGGAGGAAGCGCGCCTCAAGCTGTTTGGACTGGTACAGCGCGGCGGCCTGGACGCATACGTACAGGAATTCACTAATCTCTGCCTTCAGGTGAACGACCTGAATGACGATTCGAAGGCGGTGCTGTTCGTGAGGGGCCTGCATGCAGCAATCGGTCACTCGGCTCTTCGGGAGCACCCGACAACACTAGGCCAGGCCATTCGTGCCGCACGCATGGCAGCCATGCAGGCATCAGGGGTATGGAGGGAACAGGCCACCACAGGCACAGGCATTCGTCGGTCGAGGCACCCGGGTCCGCCACCTCCCGCTCAGGCCAGTACACCGAGGCAACCTGTCAGTCCATGGGGACGTCAGCAGCAGCAATCTAACCGTACGAGTGAGCCCATATGTTACTCATGCAGGAAGCCTGGACATATTGCCAGAAACTGTCCAGTCATCGTGAATTCCCCAAACGCTTCCAGCCAGCGAAGAAGGGAGTGCGCTCACTGGCGGTGGATACTCGGGCACCCACACCACTCATTGTGTTCAATAGGTTCGAAGGCCTGAGTGTTGAGGAAGGAGACAGCGCAAGCGATCCTGCAGTGGAGAGTTCTGACGCTACGCCTAAGGCGCACATCAGCAGCGTGGCGATGGGCGCAGAGCACGATCTGCTATGTGTCACTGGGAAGGTGAATGGGAGGAAGGCTACCATGCTAATAGACTCTGGCTCTACCCACGATTTTTTGTCGTCGGAGTTCGTCAGGAGACATAACCTGACGACTGACACGGCGACCAAGGAGCTGAAGGTCACATTAGCAGATGGCTCGTCTCGTACACAGCCTTTGGAAACTGCCGGGCCAGTAAAAGTGATGGTAGCTGACTTCAGCGAAACCCAGACCTTCACCGTGCTGCCACTGGCGCGCTACGACGCCATCTTGGGAATGCCGTGGCTGTCTCGCCACAACCCAACGATCGACTTCCGGAGTAAAAAGGTGCAGATCCAGGAGGACACCTTCGTGGCTCGAGGCCACGAAGCTGGCGAGGACACCGAGTTCGCAGAATCCCACTTCATCTCTGCAGCACAAGCGAATGCCGCTATTCGTTCAGGGGACGAAGCGTATATAGCCTGGGTCTCTATGGAGGATGATGCGCCGGGCCAAGACCCACCACCTATCCGTGACAAGGAAGGAACTCACTTCGGAAGTGAGCTGAACGCTCTGCTACGTGAGTTCGACGACCTATTTCCGGACGAGCTCCCTGACCAACTACCGCCAGAGCGAACGGTCGACCATGAAATAAAGGTGGCAGAAGGGACAGCGCCACCATCACGACCGGCATACCGCCTTCCGAAGCCGGAGCTAGACGAGCTCCAGAAGCAGATTGAGGAGCTGCTCCGGAGAGGCTTCTTAGAGCCGAGTAAGTCGCCCTATGGGGGCTCCTGTGTTCTTTGTGAAGAAATCAGATGGATCTCTTCGCATGGTGTGTGACTGGAGGGAACTTAATAGAATAACAATTAAGAATAAGGCCTGCCTCCCTAACATTGAGGACCTATTCGACACAGTGCAGGGCAGTGCATATTTCTCGAAGCTTGATCTTCGCGCAGGATACAACCAAATCAGGATACAACAGGAGGATGTGCCGAAAACGGCAATTAACACCCCGTTTGGCCACTACCAGTTCAGGGTCATGGGGTTTGGTCTGACTAATGCCCCGGTAACCTTCCAATCACTGAACTCCATTCTGCAGCCGTACTTGCGCCAATTCGTGGTAGTGTTCCTGGATGACATTCTGATTTTTAGCAAAACCCTGGAAGAGCACGTTGAGCACATTTGAACCGTTCTGACTACCCTCCGCGCTAACCAACTATTCTGCAAGTTACCGAAATGCGAGTTTGCGGTGGAAGAAATTCTATTCTTGGGTCACCGTTTGACCGGTTCCTCGATTACCCCTGATCCGGAGAAATTGGCTGCAGTTCGTGATTGGCCCACCCCATGTACGGTGAAAGACGTGAGACAATTTCTCGGGTTTACCAATTACTTCCGTCGCTTTATTAGACACTATTCATATATTTCCAAGCCCTTGGAGGAGCTAACGGGTAAATACACCAGGTTCTCATGGACTGGTGAGGCCCAGGCAGCATTCGAGGAGTTACGAAGGGCACTGCTAAATCCCCCTATTTTGAGACTTCCAGACGTGTCAAAACCTTTCCGAGTTGAAACTGATGCTAGCGATTTTGCAATCGCGGGGGTGCTCTCGCAGGAGGGGGAACCTGGTTGTTGGTTGCCAGTGGCGTACGGCAGTCGAAAGCTTTCCTCGGCGGAGCGGAACTACACAGCGTCGGAACGAGAAACGTTAGCAGTTGTGTCCGCCCTCCGGATGTGGCGCATTTATTTGTTTGAACACTTTGACGTTTTCACAGACAACCGAGCAGCAGTCTACTTCCTGACAAAATCAAATCTCACGAAAAGGGAGTCCCGTTGGGTTGAATTTCTTGCGGACTTTGATTACACTATTCACCATAAACCTGGCAAGGAGAACGTGGCGTATCCGTTGTCACGCCGCCCGGACTTAAGGGACGAAGATCATGTGGTTCCGCCTGAAGCTCGACTAAACGCTATAGAATATACCTTGGAGGTCAATGACGATATAGCCAACATGATACTGGACAGTTATGCCGTGGACCCTGAGCTGAGTGTAGTTATGGAACGAATGAAGTGCCCCGACAGTGACAATGTGCACAGTCAGTACTTCATCGACAACGACTCCGGGTTCCTCTACTTGAAGGCGTCTCCTAGCAACCGTTTATGCATACCGAGGTGTACCCTACGGCTGAAATTAGTACAGGAGAACCATGACTGCGTGACGGCAGGTCACCCAGGGCGTGACCGCACGTATTCACGCTTGGCAAAAATTTTCTATTGGCCGAAAATGGGACTCGATGTCAAACGTTTCGTGAAGTCTTGCGATATTTGCCAGCGAACTAAACCGGGGAGGCTGCGCACGGGCCTGCTGCAGTCATTACCAATACCCAAAGGCCCGTGGGAGGATATCGCCATGGATTTTTTTACGGGTCTTCCTAGAACAGCTGCTGGACATGTTGCTATTTATACCTTTGTGGACCGCCTGACTAAATGCGTTCATTTGGTACCGACTACCACATCCATTGATGCCAAGGGCAGTGCTGAATTGTACATAGCTAACGTTTTTCGGTTGCATGGTTTGAGTTCATCCATTGTCTCAGATAGAGATCCTCGGTTCACTGCTGCCTTTTTTAGGGAGGTGTTTCACCTTCTGGGAACCAAGCTTTGTTTCAGCACGGCAAACCATCCCCAAACAAATGGATTAACGGAGAGGGTGAATAGGCTGGTTGAAGACATCCTCCGTGCATTCATTA